TTAAAAGAACATTCCACAAGTGTGTTGTAAAATTGCATTCCTAAATTCAGATTTTAAGGTGTGTTAAGCATCTTTAAATCCTGTTTTAGCATAGTCAAAGATACTGTAATTCTGAAAATGGGAGGTATTTGATTGGTGAAAAATGGACATTTTTTCAAAGGAAGACATCCTAAGTATGTACCATTTCTTTGAAAGTTCTGCTGAAGTGAGACTGAGAAACTGAACTCACCATAAACTCATTAGACATGAAAAAAACAATCTTGGTAATTGATTTTATGAGACGGAATGGAACAAATTGCTTGGATTTATTTTATGTTCCGTGGTTGAGGAGTCACAGAATCAAATTAAGCTGCATTCTGGCCTCCCTGCACATGTGGGTACATACAACACATTAGGGTGACAAGGAAAACCTGTTTAAAAAAAAAAAAGCAAAAACAACCACTTAGAAACTTTAGAAAATTTCCTAAGGACATAGGGCATCCAGAGAAACATTTGTTCCAGAAAATGTAGGTTACTTCTCCTCCCTAGTATGCATCAATGGATTCAACAGTGAAGCCTATAAGAAAATCAAGTATAATGAACTCATTTCTCATCACTACTCATTAAACAGTGTAGTGTAATAGCTGTTTATATAGCCGGTACATAGCATCAGCTGTGAGTAATCTAGCTGTGATTTCAAGTGTGTGGGAGGGGGCAGACAGGTTGTATGTAAATACTAAGCTGTTTTACATAAGGCTTATACAAGTTAGCGTGTTGAAGAAGTTATGGTTTTGATTTGCAAAGAGAACCCTGGAACTCTTCCCCAGTAAACTGAAGGGTCCCTGTACTAAATAATGATAAGAATGATCAGTTTTTGATAGTGTTTGAGAATACTGTGACCTCCTTTACCATGCCTGCCACTTAGCTCCTTAGCCTCATACCCCCACTCCATTTATAAGTGATTCTAGAAGGCTGGGAAATTGACTTGTGACTTTACCTTTCATTTATCCTACTTTGGACGGAGAATTAAAGTTTTCTAAAATGTTCCATTGGTGCTGATTATATTCCTTCCATTACTCTGAGGCAAGAGGACCTGATTTGGGGACAAATAGATTAATGATTTTTTTCATTTTTTCCAAAGAAAATACCTGGACAAGTAGCTTCATCAATGATATATACCAAACATTAAAAGAACTATGTGCTGGCTAGAGTTATCTGAAAGGAAGGAACCTCAACTGAGAAAATGCCTCCATTAGATCTGGCTGCAAGGTGCTTTCTTAATTAGTGATTGATGGGGGAGGGCTCAGCCCACTGTGAGTGGGGACATCCTTGGGCAGGTGGCACTGAGTTCTATGAGAAAGCAGGCTGTGTAAGTCATTAGGAGCAAGCCAGTAAACATCACTTCCATGGCCTCTGCATCAGCTCCTGCCTCCAGGTTCCTGCCCTGTTTGAGTTCCTGTCCTGACTTCCTTCTGTGATGAACAGTGCTGTAGGAGTATAAGCCAAATAAACCCTTTCTTCCCCAAAATGCTTTGGTCATGGTGTTTGATCACAGCAATAGAAATCTAAACTAAAACAAACTGTTACAATCTTTAGTTTCTTCCACACTGCTTTGTTGGAAGACAATAACAATAAAACAAGCAAAATGAAATAAAATAAAATAAAAAACAACACAAAGATCAACATAGATCAAGGATCATTGTTCTCATCAAGAAGCAGACAATCCTTTCTATTATCCAGATTATCTACTGGGTGCCACTCCATTCAACTCCCTTCGGCCACTTTCTATCTACCTGGGCAACACCAAACCCTACAGATTAGGACTCGCTTTCCAAAACCTCAGATGTCATCACAAGCCCTGGGTAGTTTTCCTTGTGCTTCTGACCATCAACTATAAGTTAGGGTTCCAAATGTTAGCACCTTTGAGAGCAAACTCCTCTTCTAATGGACTGTCAAATTTTCCTTTCCTTTATCTTCAGTTAAAATTATGACATGAGCTGTGCATGGCAAGTGGCATTCCTGCTCACCATTTTAACCTTAAATTTTTTTCCTACAATATATTTTGATTATATACTTTCCCTTCCCTCAACTTCTCCCAAATCATCCCTCCACTACCTATCCAACCCACTCCATGCTCTTCCTCTCTTAAAAACAAAATAAACAACAACAACAAACCATAAAGCTCCTAGCATGAAGTTGTCCTTGGAAAATGGACCTAGTATCACTCCATTGAAGAAAACTGATTTCCCCACTTCCAGCAGCCATCAATTGTAAATATATTTTTGGTCAGGGGTGGGACTCTGACTTCCTCTCCTCTGCCCTGGAAGTTTGTCTGGTTTGAATTTGTATAGGTTCTCTGCATGCTGCCACAACCACGCGAATTCATATATGCATCAACCCTGTTGGGTCTGAAAGACACTGTTTCCTTAGAATCTTCCATCACCTCTGGAGCTTACAATCTTTCAACCCCCTGTTCTGCGTAATTCTGAGCCTTGAGAGGAGGGCTGGGTAAAGACATCTCATTTAGGGCTGAGTGCTTCTAAGTTTCTCCTTCCCTAAACATTGTCAGTTGTGGGGCTCTGTGTTAATTACCACCTACTGCATGAAGAAGCTTCTCTGATTAGAGTTGAGCATAGCACTGATCTGTGGGTATAGCAATATGTCATTAGGAGCATTTTATTGCTATGTTCATTTAGCAGAATAATGGGTTTCCTCTAGTGCTCATGACCTATCTAGTCTCAGGCTCTTGACTTCATTAATAGTGTTGCATATGGGTTCCATCTCATGCAACCAGCTTTAAGTCCAATGTTTAAGTGATTGGTTAATCCCATATCATTTGTGCTACTATCTCACCAGTGGGTTTATCTTACAGGTAGGTCACGCCTATAGTTTGAATGGTCTATAGTTCTGTAAGATTGGTGATAACTTTTCTTCTCTGTTAACATGTATAGTACTTTCAAGCACTATGAGTGCTCAGTAGGGGTGAAGCCTCTAGTTGGACAGCAGCTCAATTACTCCATGATGACAGCAGTGGGATCTTACTATCAGGTTGTAAAGGGTAACCAATCGAATTTACAATAGCCTGTGATGTTTGGAAGTTTCCATGGGATCCCTTTGGCCAATGACTCAACAAGATGCAATCCATTTCTGGTACTGGTGATTTTTATTTGAAAGCATATGATGTCTAGTTGGGCATCACCTCCCCTCTTATATGATAACTCCATATAAATTACTTTTATATGTGCATATATTCTTAGGAATCTTTTACAGGAGTAGAAACATGTGACATTGAGCTGAGTGTGCCCATGAATATGTCTATCATTCCTTCTTAAATTAGACTTTAAACTGAGCATGCTCAGAAGGGTACCCACTAGTAAATCTCTCCTATCCATGAATATGAATAGGCTACCTGATTAATACCCCCGTACTTCCTTAGTTGAAGGATAGGCATTGCTTTAGAAGTGGCTTTCAGAGTCTCCTTATTGCTGCAAGTGGCATAGCTTCCTCTGCCTTTTACCTTAGCCATCCTTGTTTGGTCTTTATTCTGGTTGAGACTGAGAGCCTATCATACTCACTTTCACTATCACTCTGAGTTCAATTAATTTATTGATGTCTCCCATGTTAAGGAAAACAGAAATACTTTTCCTTTTTAAAATATTTTCATTTACTATTATTACTTTATTTTCAGTGTGCATGTATGTGTCTCTGGGTGTGTTTATGACCATGTGTGTGGGTGCCCATGGACTGAAGTGTAGGATCTCCCTTAATTAGGATTACAGTCCCTGTGATGAAACACTATGACTAACTCAACTTGGAGAGGAAAGGGTTTATCCAGAATGTGTTTCCACACCACAGTTCATCATCAAAGGAAGTCAGAACAGGAGGAGCTCAAAAAGGGCAGGATCTGATGCAGAGGGGTGTTGCTTACTGTTGTGCTCCTCATAGCTTTCTCAACCTGCTTTCTTATAGAAGCCAGGACCTGAAGGCCAGAGATGGCATCACCCACAATGGGCTGGGCCTTCCATATCAATCACTAATTAAGAAAATGTCCTACAGGCTTACCTACAGCTGGACCTTATGGAGGCATTTCCTAAGCTGAGTCTCCTTCCTCTCTGATGAATCTAGCTTGTGTCAAGTTAACATAAAACTAGCCAGTATACCCACGGAGCTGGAATTATAGGCAATTGTGAGCTAAACAACATGAGTGTTGGGAACTAACTTAGGTCCTCTGCTAGAGTATTATGTATTCTCAACCACTGAGCTGTATCTCTAGCCCCAATATATTGATTTTTTTTAAAAGAAATACTACAAAGGACACACATGGAACATCACATGGAGGAATGGATACTGAGCTGCCATGTGCTCTTTGTGAGTCTCAGCTTTCTAGAATCTTCATGAATTTAGCTATCTGGAAACCTATTGAGTCCTGTTCTGTCTTTTGGGGGTTCTTGAAGACTTCATTGCATAGAAATCATTATATAATCCAGTGTCTATAACTGAGAAAAACCTGTCTACTTCAGCATTTTGACCTTTCTTATATAACTGAATCAAAGAAGAGTTGTTACGTCTCTCAATCCTGTACTGTTTAGGTTGCCTCCCCTTGGAATGGGGAGGGTTCTATAACCTACTATCAACAAGGGCAGGTCATAGAATTTGTTAGAGCCAGCGCCACAAGAGAAAGGTAAAAGTTCAGAGTTTTCATTGTGTGCCTTAGGGAAGAAAAGTCTCTCTCTCTCTCTCTTTCTCTCCCTCACTCTCTCCTTCTCCCTCTGTCTCGTCTCTCTCATACACACACATTTATGTATACATATATAACACATACATATGTATATACCATTACCACAACATATATGTACATATATACCATAACATCACATCGCCACAGGTCTCTAGCTCAAAATCCTAAAGCATTTGGATGTGTCTGGAAAACCAAATTCAACAAGACATACAATTAATCTATATTTGACCAAATTAAGTTTATCACAGAACACACAGGCAGCTTACATTTGAAATTAGTTACTACCACATTTTAGCCCCTTGGCTAAGATCAAGTGTAATATCTGTTATTATTGATCTAAAATCAGGTACATCCTCAGTTGAGCACAATATATTAAATGGCTTTGGGGCGCAGAACAGTGAAATTGCTCAATTCATTCCGCACATTCACCCGATACTCCAGAGCCTCCAGGAATGATACAACCTCTCAGAAGATTTTAAAAATCAGTACATGTACCAGTGTATGTCGGTCGTAGTTAGGGTTTCTATTGCTGTGAAAAGTCACCATGACCATGACAATTCTTGTAAAGGAAAAAAATCTAATTGGGGCCATCTTATAGTTCAAAAGTTTAGTACATTGTCATTATGGTGGGTGGAGTGCAGGCAGACATGATGCTGGAGGAGTTGAGAGTTCTGAATCTTGATCCACCCACAGCAAAAGCAGTCTGTATCCACACTGGTTGTAGCTGGAGCTTTGAGACCTCAAAGCCCACCAATGCAGTGACACATTTCCTCCAACAAAGCCACACCTCCTAATCGTGCCATAGTGGGATAAAACAAAAACATGATTATCACAGTAAATTTCAAAATCAGCAAATAATCCATTTGTGTTATAAAAACAAATGAACATTGACAAACAAGTTCAAGAAACTAGAAAGGGAAGGGAACTCCCTGAGTTTGATTTTAAAAAGCATCTATAAAAACACAAAGCAGGTGCCATATTTGATGGTAAAATTCTGAAAGCTTCCAAGTTCAGGCATAATACAAGGTTGTTTGTTCTCATGAATTGCCACTGTGTACCAAGCAAGAAAAGAAGAAGGCATCTTCCCTGGAAGTAAGATATTGTTATTTACAGCCAGTAGTCTATGTAGAAAGTCCTAAAGAATATGCACACAAATGTTTTTAATGACCTCAGCAAAGTTGTAGGAGACAAGATCACATAAAAGTAATCAGTGAACATTTCAAAACTTAAATTTTGAAAATTTCCTTTTCTATAGCATTTCTGCCGCATTTTGAGTAAGAAATGCCCTCTTAGGCTCAGAGCAATGCTGTTGTGGAATATTATTTAAATATGTGTTACATTTGTTTGTGCTGTGGAACATTTGTTTAATGGAGTGAAGATGTGTTGCATTTTTTCATGTTAACATTTGTTTAACTCTGTGAAGCTGTGAGTCTTTGCCTGTCTAAAACACCTGATTGGTCTAATAAAGGGCTGAACTGCCAATAGCAAGGCAGGAGAAAGGATGGGTGGGGCTGGCAGGCAGAGAGAGTAAATAGGAGAAATCTGGGAAGAGAAAAGATTGAGGAGTGAGAGAAGGAAGAAGACTCCAGGGGCCAGCTACCCAATAGCCGTAGAGTAAGAAGTAGAGAAAAGTGGCCAGGCATGGTGGTGCACACCTTTAATTTCAGCACTTGGGAGGCAGATGCAGGTAGATCTCTGTAAATTTGAGATCAGCCTGGTCTGAAAGAACTAGTTCCAGAACAGGCTTCAAAAAAAGCTACACAGAGAAACACTGTTTTGAAAAACAAACAACACAAAACAAAACAAAAAGAAGAAATAAGGAAAGGTATATAGACTAGAGAAAGATAAAAAAGGAAAAAGGTAGACAGGATAATTTAAGAAAATCTGGTTAAAAACAAGCCCAAAGCTGGGCATTCATAAGAAAGAACAAGCCTCCATGTAGTTTATTTGGGAGCTGAGCGGTAGGCCCCCTCAAAGGGCCAAAAGAGTAAAAAAACAAAACAAAACAAAGCATCAAACAACTACAGGGAAATGGTAGAAACAGATGATGAGGGCTTGCTGGAGGAACTGGATCACTGGGATGTATCTTTCAAGGAGCCTAGAGACTGGGCCCTCGTGCTTTCTGTTTCCTATACATCAGGAGGTGAAATAGCTCTTCCATCACATACCACACCTCTCTGACAATCTGCTCAAGTGACTGGGGCCAAATGGTTATGGGTAGAAACAGAGGAAACCATGAGGGAAGCCATGAGTCAAAATAACCCTTTTCTCTCCTTAAGTTGCTTGTGTGAGACATTTTGTTACAGTAATGAAGAAGAACTAGCTGAAGAAGTCTGTACCAGGAATGGGCTTGTTCCTGTAAATACACTTGATGGTGAAGTTCCGAAGGCTCTGCTGGGATGGCTTTGTTGAATAAATCTGGAAACATCTGGAGATATACAGGCCAGAGGGCCCCTAACAAGCTAGAAACAAAGTTTCATGGGTGTTCTGGCTGGAGGCCAGAAGCTCAGACTAGTATAGTAAGAATGAAGACTATGAAAGACTGCTGTGAGATGAGGTGTGGACACAAAAACTCTACTGATAATTAGACTAAACATACTTTGTTACATTGTAGCAAAGAGCATGTTGTGTAGGTCCCAAAGTCTTGGTGGGATGCTAGGTTTAAAGATGACCCACTAATTAATGTGGATGAGAACATTCGAAGGGAACCCAGGATTTAGGTTTTGGCATGGGTATTGCTGGCAGGTTTTAGCAAAGTTTATAGTAGAAGTAGGAGTGAAAGGTGGAGCTAGGAAAGCCTGTTAAAACTTGCATTTTGGTCAGGAAGGGTTCTGTGAATCCAGGATAAGAGCGATGAGATTTCTGTTGGGATTAGTACAATGAAAACAAAGCCAGGATAGACTTGGTTGTGCACACTTGTAATACCAAAACTCAACAGGCAGAGGCAGGAGGTAGAAACTTTGAAGACAGCCTAGTCTACAGAGAAAGTTCTAACACATCCAGAGCTACATAATGAAATGCCAAGAAAGGGGGGGGGGAGAGAAAAGAAAGTGCACACCCTTTCAAAAAACAAAAACAAACAACAACAACAAAAAACTTCTGAAAAACCTAAACCAACTAATCAAGTAAGCAAAACAAAACAAAACAAACAAATAAACAAACAAACAAAAAAAACCAAACAGAAAGACTAGGACTTTGTATCCAGATAATAGGAAAGATGCTCTAAGAGCATTTTAGAAACTTGCCAGACTCTACCCCACCCATTGTATGCTTAAAGGCATGAAAGACTAATTAGAGAGGTTTGCTCAACAGAAAAGCCATTCTGGGGCACTGTGGTTATACAAGCAAGACTGTCTAGGAAGAGTTTTCCCCCAGCATTTCTTTCACTGTGTTCTCTGTTAAAGTATTCAGGGGCCAATGTGGCCATGGTCCAAAGGTACTCAACTACTTTTTAAACAATTGGCAGATCACAGTGCTACCCATACCATGCTGGGTTATAATTGTGAGACCCTGTGTGAGAAAGCTGTGAACTATCGGTGTTGGCACACACCTTTAACTCAAGAGGCAGAGGCAGGTGGGTCTCTGTGAGTTAGAGGTCAGCCTGGTCTACAGAGAGTTCCAGGACAGATAGAGATTTTACACAGGGAAACCCTATATTGGGGGGAGAGAGATGAGAGAGAGAGAGAGAGATGTGAACTTTGAACATACTGTGAACATGGATGAGGCAGAGTGTAGAATGTTCTTCGCACAAGGTGGCCTTCTAGAAAGAATTGCAGAAACTATGGTAAGTGGGCACTTGAAAACAATGACACGGAAGGAATGCCTTGGCATGTCCATATTATTTCTCTGGGAAAGACAAAGGCCTAGGAGGAATATTTTTGGCTCCTTTCATGTGATCAATGATGATGAGACAGCTCCATGTGTATTCTGTGGTGACTTGGATAAGAACCTTCCTTGAAAGGGTTAGAAGGGTTAGTTAGCCTGGGCTGTATAGGAATGGCAGCTAAGTGAGCTACAGTAAATAACATTTCTCCATGATCTCTGCTTCAGTTCCTGCCTCCTGGTTCCTGTCTTGATTGAGTTCCTTCCCTGACTTCCCTCAGTGATGGACCTGGAAAGTATAAGATAAACTCTTTCCTTCCCAAGTTGCTTTTGGCGTGGTATGTATCAAAGCAACTAGAACAATAATGTGGCCCACTTTGAAGAAGTTCATTAATATGGGCAATACCTCAAAAAGCACATTTTAATATTCTATACCTCCTGCTGATTGGTTCTCATGAGGTGGGCAGCTTTAATCCACCACCCCCTCTTAGGCATCATGTTCCTCCTTACCACAACCTAAAAGCAATGGAGCCTGTCAACCATGGACAGAAAGCTCAGAAAGGGAAATCTTTTCTCCTTTAAATTCTTTCCTAGGGTAATTTGTCACAGTGAAAAAGGCTGACTATCACACATGCAGAGTTATGCAGTGAACTTCTACTTCATACCATATACAAAATGTAACTCAACTTGGTTTACAGGCTTAAATGAAAAATTAATTTATAATATTACAGAAAATACAGGGAGTCATTTTTTATTACCCAAGGTTGGCCACAAAGTCAAAAGCACGAGTGATAAAAGCAATAGATTAAACTGTATCAAAACTCATGTGTTATAAGCAATGCTGTCAAGAAAGTGAAAAGCAACTCAAAGAATCACAGATGTAACTTGATGATAAAAAGACAGTGAAATAAAGAGGCAAAGACTTTGAATAGACATTTATCCAAGAAGGCATGTAAATGACCAATAGCCCATGAAAAGAGAATCAAAATCATTATCCATCAGGGCAATATAAGTCAAAATCACAGTATGATGCCCCCAAGGTTGTAGTGAAAACATTGCTAGGATAAAAAAGATAACATAGCGAACAAGTTATAATACCACAGAAGGGTGGCAATTCCTAGGGAAAGAGTGGCAATTTAAAATTATTTTCATTGCGAGCTGACTACATGACTATGCAATTCTATTCCTCCACTCTAATGGAAACATATGTCCATTAAAAACTCATCTACAAACATTCACAGCAGCATCATTCATACCATCCCCAAAGTCAAAACAAGCTAAATATAGGTGTACTGATTAATGGATACATAAAGGGCGACAGGTCTAAGTAATTGGATATCACTTGGCATTACAGAAAAAGAAGCATTGATGTATGCTGTCACCTGGATGAGCCACCAAAAGGCCATGCCAGGTGGAAAGCCATCACAGAAGAGCACATGCTGTAGGACTGCTTATTCGAATACCCAGGACAGGCAGACAGAGATATGTAAACCCTGGCGGCCTGGTGATAAAGGCAAGGGGATGGGTTCCTCTAGGGAAAACAAAAGAGTCCTAACCTTGGATTGTAGGGATGGCTGGATGGCTCGGTGCACTCTCAACTGATGGACTGTACGGCAGGTGCCATGAAGATGTTCTAACCGTGGC